AAGTTTTTATATTTATTTAGATAAATCGCACTCTCTGCTAAATAAATTATTAATTATAAAATTTTTTATTTTAAATTATATAATAAAAGATAATTTTTTTATATTTTTAAATTTATTTTACTTTTATATTATGCAATTTAAATCAAACTTTTTATTATTTTAAAAATAAAATTATTACTAAATTATTTAGATAATTAACACTAACCATACAATTGTTTAGCAAGGTGATTACTAAAATAAAGAAATTCTGGATGAATTATCTTTTGGTTTCCATTAGTTTTCGTTTTAAATGTTCGTTAGTTTTCGTTTGGTTATCGTCTCAAATGTTTTGGTTGCAGTAAAGAATAATTAAAATTCCTTTTGCAAAATTGAGGGATTTTTAAATTTTAATGATATTAAACTTATTTTTATTAATTAAACTAAATTAAATACGCAATATATATTTTTTATATTCAATTCAAAATATTTTGTTAATTTATATCATCTTAACATTTTAATCCGCTGAAAAAAAGCGGTAAAACTGAATACGCGCGGTCTCTCTGGTCTGGTGTGGTTTGGCCTTGAACCCTTTTTTTTTAATCCTAAAAAATTAATTGTTTAATAACATAAAGGTTTAAAATTTTGACTTTACTCTTAAATTAAAATTTATAATTCTTTAGAACCCTTTTCTCCGATGAGGGTCGAAGAACGAGAGTTTTTGGAGCACGCGACTGACAGCTCACGACTAAAAGTTTAAAATTCACAACATAATACTAAAAGACTAATATTCTCCTCATCGGCGCAAGAAATTCTATGGGAATTGTTGTCGTCTAGTCTTCAAAAGTCTAAACGATTGTCGGTGGACCAAATCATTCTATCAGACTCCTATTTTTCTAAAAGATAAACATCAATTACTATCTCTATTTCTTAATCAAAGGGATCTTCTATTATTTAGTAAACAAAAATAAAATAATTATAATGTATTATAATATTATAACTTATAATATTATATATTTTAATTTATTTTAATAATACTTGATATTTATTTAGTGATATTTTATATTTATTTAATAAAATATTATAATTATAAATTTATAATTTCATATAATATTATAATTATAACAAAATTTTTAATAAATAATTACAATAAATAAAGCAATTCGGCATGGGGAGAGCCGCCCCCATTATGAATTTTTTTATTTTTTAAAATTCACGTAATACAGTGGGTCTGTCTTTGTCAAACTTTGCGGGGAATCATTTTCTTTTAAGAATTGTTATTAGGGGAAAAGAAGCATTGCCCTGTTTTTGTCCAGTGGTGTCATTGTAACTTAAAAAAGG